AATCCCATAGGGTCCTATGGGACTCCTATACGAATCCAATCGGATCCTATGGGCTCCAAAAGACCCCATCGGACTCCCATGCGGCCTCAGGACGCGGGGTAGGGCGCGTTGCGTTGCAATGCGTTGCGCCGGGGGGGGGTGCGGGGGCGGGCGCCAGCTAGTGGTTTCGTCAACAAAACAACTACAAACATTAAGGCAGTTCGCTGTTATCTGCTCGAAAATCATTGAACGTGTATGTCCCAAACAATCGAAACCCGCCCTTTTCGTCTTCGATCGTGCCCCCTTTGGGGGGTAGATTTTTCTTCCCTGCAGGCCGGGCCCCATCAAGCGGCGGGCGGCCGCGGACCGTCGGCCAGGCCAGCGGCAGCGCTGACCGCGGCAACCCGACCCCAAGAGGGACGGACACGGGACCGACCACGACGACGACGACGAAAACGACGAGCGAAAACGCGAGCGGGAGCGAGAGCGACAGCGGGGCCACGAAGGGATGACGGGGACACGACGGGCAGCAAGGGGGCAACGAAGGGCGACAGCGGGGCAACGAAGGGCATGCGTGTGTGGCCAAGGAGGGCGCGAACGAGCGGGGGCCACGAAGGACAGATAATGCGGGGCCACAGGAGGGCAACGACAGGGCCACTGAGGGTAGCAACGGGGCCATGTAGGACAGCGAGGAGGCCACAGAGCGCGACAGCGGGGCCACGAAGGGCATGCATATGGGGGCACGACGGGCGCGAACGAGCGGGGGCCACAAAGGGCATACGTATACATTGGGCCGCGAAGAGCAAGGACGGGGCCACTAAGGGCAGCAACGGGACCACGAAGGGCTGCAACGGGGCCACGAAGGGCAGGGATATCCAGATTCCTAAACAATCGACGAGGGGGTCCTCCGCGTGAGCGCGACTCCTGGGTGCCTGAATGTCGGGGGCGCGTTGCTCGAGTAAATTGCTGTGAACTCCAACGCAAGAACGCGATTTTTGAGTAAATCCCGAGCGAGTCTCCAGCGAGAACGCGACTCTAGAGCGCCGAGAAAGCGATTCCTGTATAAATTGTAAAGAAGTCGAAGGCGAGAGCGCGATTCCTGAAACAAACACGAAGAAGTCTCAAGCGGGAGCGGGGTTTCTGGCTAAATTTTGCGGGGATCTCAGGCGGGATCCGCTGTTGTTGTTGTTGTAATTCGGGGGCCAACAACACAGTTTGAGCCGAATGACTTTCCCGGGTTTCAAAAAAATGCCCCTGGGGGCACTTCAGTTGAAAAAACACAATGCCCACTGGAGGAGGTGATCAACAATAATTATTCAGTAGCTAGAGTCCAACAATCATTTTAAGACTGTTCGCTGTTATCTGCTCGAGTGTCATCCAACGCGGATTTACCAAACCCTCGATACCCGCCCTCTTCTTCTTCTTCTCCTTCTTCTTCGATCGTACCCCTACAGGCCGGGCACCGGCAAGCGGCGGGGCGGCCGCGGACGGTCGGCCTGGCCAGCGGCAGCGCTGATCGGCGGCAGCCCGAACGAAGGGCGACAACGGGGCCACGAAGGGCGTGCGTATGGGGCCCCGAAGGGCGCGAACGAACGGGGGCCACGAGGGGCAGATCATGCGGGGCCACAGGAGGGCAACGACGGGGCCACTGGCGCAGAGAGCGAGGAGGGGGCCACTGAGGGCAGCAAAGGGGCCACGAAAAGCAGCGAAGGGGCCACGACGGGCGACAGCGGGGCCACGGAGCGCATGCAGACGGGGCCACGACAGGCGCGAACGAGCGGGGGCCACGAAAGGCACACACACATATATGGTCCAGGGCTTGGGCCCCCCCCCGTCCCCCCCAATGCTGTTGCCATTGGGCCCCCCCCCCGCGCGATGGTCCCCCCCGCCCCCCCCTGTGGGCGTGGCGTGGTGCTGCGCTGCGGTGCACCCCTCCCCCCCCTGTGGATGTGGTGTGGTGCTGTGGTGGTTCAGAGGTGGGCGTGGCGTGGTGCTGCGCTGCGGTGCCCCCCTCCCCCACCCCCTGTGGATGTGGTGTGGTGCTGTGGTGGTTCAGAGGTCGTCGTCGTCGTCGTCGTCGTTGTCGTCGTCGTCCTCGTTGTCCTCGTCGTCCTCGTCGTCGTCGTCGTCCTCGTCGTCGTCGTCGTCGTCGTCGTCGTCCTCGTCGTCGTCGCCGTCGTCATCGTCGTCATCGTCGTCGTCGCCGCCGCCGCCGCCGGCGTCGTCGCCGCCGCAGCCGTCGTCGTCGTCGTCGTGGTCGTCGTCGTCGTCGCCGTCGTCGTAGTCGTCGCCGGCCGTCGTCGTCGTCGTCGTCGTCGTCGTCGTCGTCGTCGTCGTCGTCGTCGTCGTCGTCGTCGTCGTCGTCGTCGTCTCTGCGACCATACCATCAAGGGGGGGGGGGGGCGAAAAATCCGGGGACCATACCATCTGGGGGGGGAGGGGGCGGTGGGCCCGTGGGCCCGGAGCCCGGGATCATATATGAAGCCACGAAGGGCACCGAGGGGGCCACGAAGGGCTGCAACGGGGCCACGAAGGGCAGCGAGGGGGCCACGTAGGCGAGGGGGCCACGAAGGGCTGCGACGGGGCCACGAAGGGCAGCGAGGGGGCCACGAAGGGCTGCAACGGGGCCACGAAGGGCAGCGAGGGGGCCACGAAGGGCAGCGAGGGGGCCGCGTAGGCGAGGGGGCCACGAAGGGCTGCGACGGGGCCACGAAGGGCAGCGAGGGGGCCACTCAGGGCTGCAACGGGACTACGAAGGGCAGCGATGGGGGCCACGAAGGGCTGCAATCAACGGGGCCACGAAGCGCATGCATATGTGGCTGCAACGGGGCCACGAAGGGCAGCGAGGGGGCCACGAAGGGATGCAACGGGGCCACGAAGGGCAGCGAGAGGGCCACGAAAGGCTGCAACGGGGCCGCGAGGGGCAGCGAGGGGGTCACGAAGGGCTGCAACGGGTCCACGAAGGCAGCGAGGGGGCCACGAAGGGCAGCGAGGGGGCCACGAAGGGCACCGAGATCCGGGGTCCTAAATAAGCTGTGAGGGAGTCCTAAGCGATCGCTACTCCTGGGTGCCTGAGTGTCGGGGGCACGGCGCTTGAGTAAAGCGCAGGGAACTCCAACGCAAGAGCGCGATTCTTCAGTAACCTGCAAGCAAGTCTCCAGCGAGAGCGCAACTCCAGAGCGCCGAGAGTGCGATTCCTGAATAAACTGTAAGGAAATCAAAGGCGAGAGCGCGATTCCTCAATACAACGCGAGGAAGTCTCAAGCGGAAGCGGGGGTCCTGGCTAAATTGTGACTACCTATCAGGCGGGAACCGTTGTTGTAATCTGGAGACCAATAACACAATTTGCGCCTACTGAGTTTCCCGGATGAAAACCAGGGTGCGAGACCCAGAAGAAGCACTTCAATTGAAAAACACAATGGCCCCTGGAGAGGGGATCAACCATAATTTGTCAGTGAGAATCCAACAACAATAACCACAACAACAGCAACAACCACGACAACAACATCAGCAACAACAACAACAACGACAGCAGCAGCAACAACAACAATAATCCGCATGGCGGAATCCCACTTCAGCCACGCACCCAGGGACAGTGAATCACGGCCCCCTCACTCTGATCTAGTCTGTACACACACAAACTTATGCAAACATATTTTCATAACTGGATATAAGGACTGAAATATACACACATTGTGGCACTACGTGTCAATGGCATTCCTCCCGTGTGTCGCGTTTCGTGGGGATTCGCCATATGCAGGGTCTGCCCGCAAGGGTCCGGCATTGGTTGCGCCCATGCGCTGGCCGTCGCGATGGTATTCCCTAAACAGCTTCTCTGTAAGGGCCCTGCATACGGCAGGTTCGTGTCGTGCCGACCCCAGCGTTGGTTTCTGACACCGCAAGAATCGTTCAACCTTGAACGATCGGCCGCTGCCGCAACGTCCGATCGTTCAACATCGATCGATTCTGGGTCGCCGGCGGCGTTCAACCTTACACGCCCGCGCTGGGGTCGCCGCTGGTCGACACGACGCAAACCTACCGTACTGCTTCTCAGGCCTGGTCCTTCGGATCCTGAGTCGGTGGCTGGCCCGTGGTCCCACATGGTACGGTCTCTCGCAAGGTCTCCCGTGTGGTCTCCCGTGAAGGTTGTCTGAATAGTCTGCCCTGCGGTCTCCCTTGTAGCCACCCTGATGGTATCCCTTCGGGTAACCCGTATGGTCTCCATTGTGGTCTCTCTTGCGGTCCTCTGTATTCTCCCGTATGGCCTCTCTCCTATGGTTTCCTTTCGGTGCTCTTTAGAATGCTCGCTATGCTACTCTTCGCTTCCAAAAACTCTCTGTGTAGCGATCGCTTCGTTACTCTGAAGGGCTGTTGAGCGCCACCTCGTCGCGTGCAACTAAGGGCCCCCCCTCGGGTCCCCTACGTCCCCATGACCCCGTGCTCTAGCCGTCCTCCCAAGCCCTCCATGCCCCCTCCCCCCCCAGCCCTCTATGCGCACGCAGCCCCGCCCCCCTAGGGCAATCTACTCTCTTGCGCAAACGGCGATTCGACTTCCGCCAAAATCGATTCCCTGCGGCACCCAGCGCGAAACCAAGCTGGGGGCCCATGGTGGCCACGAAAAGGGAGGTCGTCATTCGAGGGCAAGCAACTCGGGACTCGGAGCGACACAGGATCGAAGTCACCTGACCGAGCCGACCGAGAGGCTCGACCAGCGGCCGATGCCACCCAGAGGGCCAACACCTCCAGGGACCGCTCGGCCAACTGGCTGGCCCCCAGCGAGCGCCGAGGTCCCGACATGCACGCACCCTCCGGAACGGAGCTGGCCCGAAAAAAAACAAAAAGCAAACCAAGATTCACCCGCGCGGGCAGGGGGGGAGAACATATGTGGGGGAGGAGGAAGAGGAGGAAGGGGAGGGGGAAGGAAAGGAGGAGGAGGAGGAGGGACTGGGGTGATGAAGAGGAGGGAGAGGGGGAGGGACAGAATCAGGAAGGGCGAGGACGGCGAGGAGGAGTGCAGAGTCCTGGTTGTTCACGATGCTCTCCCCCGCCGTCTCCCGCTCCTTCATCAGCTCGGCCGTGCGCCGCTCGACGTACTCTGGCGTCTCAATTTTCTTCATACACCTCGGGGGAGAGAAGACCGAAGAAGAGAAGCTGGGAGAAGCTCGACGTATATGTACACCACGTCACTTGGTCGGCCAAGGAGACACGGAATTCGGCGAAAGGGTCCGATGCATATGCGCTCCAACAGTCCCGCAGCATGGGAAGCTAAGGCGTCTATCCACCGAGGTCCGTGGCTGATGGCCGACTCGACGGCGACGTGTATATTTCGAAGTCCTTCAAAAGATGGAGGAGCGTTCATCCGCGCATGAGGCAACTTGTGTCATTTGTGATGTTCGTCCCTCTCGGTCATACTCAGCGGCACCACGGTCACCATCGCCATCGCCGAGACCACCATCATCACGATGACACGTGGTACTGCTGTTGCAACGATCGTGGTTGCTGGTACGGTTTGATCAAATTCCGAAAGCAGACAGTCGATGGAGAACTGTTGAGCCCTGTGCTTGATCTCTTGAACATCGGGGCCCAACAGTGCCATTGCTCCTGATGCCCATTACCCCAAAGAGGGCCCGCCACGACTGGAGCACCCGAGATGAACATGGACCGGCTTGCTTCCCCGTCCACCTTCGCATCCTGAGCGCGTGCGGCTTGCAGGCCATGAGGCTGAACCAGCGGCCAACGCAGCAATCGACGTACTCGTCGATCTCGGGCGCGCATGCCTGTCGGACCTCCTTGCCAATCTGCTCCCTCACCGCATTGATCTCCTGGAGCCGTGGGCCCAGGAAGGGGGGTCTGGGAGGCCAGCCAGGCCGAGATGGGAAGCAAATGATGAAGCATCCCATCTTATTCACCTCCCACACGCAGCCACAAATCTTCAACTCCTCTCTGTGTACCTCTGAATCGCCGTGTGCGATGGAAGTGTGAACGTTTATGCATCATGTGTGCGAGTTTCTGTTCAGTATGTCGATATCTACCTAAGTGCGTGCAGTCATGCATACATATCTTCACATGTTTAAACACACAGGCGAATACATTCAGTACCCCGTCTCTGTCTCTGTCTCTGTGCCTGTCTGTATGTCTCTGTCTGTCTGTTTGTCTCTCTGTCTGTCTGTCTGTCTTTGTCTCTGTCTATGTCTCTGTCTGTCTGTCTCCGTCTGTCTCCATCTGTCTCCGTCTGTCTGTCTGTCTGTCTGTCTGTCTGTCTGTCTGTCTGTCTGTCTCTCCGTCCGTCTGTCTGTCTGTCTGTCTGTCTGTCTGTCGGTCTGTGTGTTTGTCTGTCAGTCTGTCTCTTTCCCTCTCTCTCTGCCAATGCCTGGCCGACTTAGAGCCACTGGCTCGGGCGTCAACTCAGACCTCCAAGAGTTCATCGCATTCCTCTCCCTGTCTGCAAGCGTTGACTGCGGCCTCAGGATAGCCTAAAAACAATATCCAGCTGTTTTTTTTCTCTTGAGTCAGGAGGGGAGCGGAGTGCCTGCACACCTGTGTTGGGCTGCCCTGGTGCACGATACCATCACAACGAGATTACGCTGAACTCAGACAGACTTCGCCAGGAGGGCCTCGTTCACATCGTGACAGTTGCAGGAACTTCCTGAACTCACATCCAGCAGAGTCGACTTGGGCCTGGCCTTCGATGCCCTGCTCTACACCCATCGGCTTGCGAGATCGCCTGCGTCCCGCAGCCCTCCGAGCCTCCAGGCGGTGCCTGCAGAGACGTAGGCGAAAGGTCGCGCCGAAATGCGCGGCCTTCTGCTCCAGCTGGCACGCCTCCCTGGCCTCCAGGTAAGCGACGCGACCCTCGCGGTTCTTTCGGACGGTCTCGGCATCTGGTGCAGCGGGGGGATGGGGCACGAAGCCAACACAAGCATGAGGGAGGAGATAAAGAGAGAGAGAGAGAGAGAGGGAGGGGAGGCAAGGGCGTGGAGGCGACAGCGAAAGAATGAGAGACTGCTAGAGAATTCGGACTAGCTGGGCCAAGGACGCACGAGGCAGGAGCGAGGAAGGGAGTAAGCAGAGGGAGAACTCAGACGGACAGCAGGGTGGTAGAAAACAGGGGGCAAAACTCCACGCCCCTCGGAGGGGAAGCACATGTCCTGCAAGCGAGGGCTCTGGGCATCCCACTACCACCTTGTCCTCGCGTGTGCCATCACAGCGAGCATGGTCCCTGCGGTCACCGCTGCTAACTACAAAGCTGCGAAGCATCCTTGCGCGGGTATCCGCCAGGCACGCAGCAAAAAAATCTCACTCGACGTGAATGCCTCGATGCGGTCACTATATAGTTCATTGCCTCCCCATGCCCATCGCCCTGCCACCTCGTGGGGGACGGGAGAGGCGCTCGATAACGCCGACTGCACCATGATGCCAGCCTTGACCAGGCCTCCCCTCGACTCTGAATTTATTGCGATTCTGGTCTTTCCCTGCGATTGGCCAGGCCAGGAGGGACAACACACACCAGTCCAGGGCACCGACTGGCTCTGGCCAGCCCTGGTGCTTGTATGGATGGTGCGCCTCAGCTGGCGCGGAATGGGATCAAGGATTCCATTGTGGACGCAACGAGAGGCCTCACTCGTCTCCTGCCATGAAGCATCCAAAATATGACAAATGGTGGCCTACAGGGAAGTCGGCATCTCCAGGTGCTGGTCTTTTCACCTGGGAGCATCCTTTGAAAATTGCGTGCAAGCGTCAACTGCTGCCTCATAGGAAGCGAGGCGCTGAGCAGCGAATGGTGTGCGTGTCGGGTCCACTTCTTCTTCTTCTTCTAATTAGTGTCGCGCAATGCGAAGCAACTGTGGGCCCCCCTCCGCCGCATCGACTCCAACATGCGCTTACGCTTTGTTCATGCAATTGGCGTGCCTTCCACACGACACACGAAAACAACAAGAAAACTCTTCATGCGATCTTCATGAATAGACATCCAGCTGGTAATCACCCGTACCACATGTGTTAAAGACGTCCGTCGACAAATGTTCGACGTATTATCGTTCTGGCAAGCTCCCAATGAGAAACTATTTTGGAGCGCGTGTCTATGAGCAACCTCTGGTATCCCACGCAACCCGGGGGAACACTTCTAAGAAGTGTGCCCCCAGTCCAAAACTCTCAGACCAGCCCTGGGCGGTAAGAGGTCATGAAAGTCAATTATCAAGTGCGGGTACGCTGGTCAATACGGATGCGAATTCATTCTCGAGGCCGTGTCCACCATGGGTGGCCACGCCACCGTACGCGAATGCCCATGCCCATGCCCTTGCAGCGGGGCAAGCATGCGTCTATACTCTGTGATCTTCGAACAAACCGCTGCGACCTTCACAGAAACCAGATATGATGATGGCATTGGTTGGCTGCTCAAGCATGTCTGAGGAGTTTTCGCACTACTCGCCACCGTGGCAGCAGCACATTGGGGGCGTGCTCGAATGCTTCTAGGATGTCTAGTGGGAAAACCGACCCCTGGAACGCACCCAAAAAGAACGCACCCCTACATTTGCTACCCGGCTTGCTATTCGGACTTTGCACGACTCCGAGACACCAAACTACCGCCAAACAATGGCTGCAAAACTGCAAAACGGCTCAACACACTCCCAATATAGCCCCACGATCCCCCTTGAAGGCTCCACGATACCTCTTACGATGTCCCCAAAGACCCCACGAGGCCTCAAAGAGAGGCGTCAGAGTCCCACGCGAGGCTCCAAGAAGCGGAGCACATAAAAAACAGATAGCCATACTGGTTTTTGGCATGTGAAACACTTTGAGACTGCATCGGGAAGCCTAACCCACAGCCCCAAGAAGCTCCAAGACAGCCCTCAGAGCGCTCCACAGCAGTTGCATGACTGAATGGATAACACCAAATGGTGGCCCAAAAGGGCTCCAAGACTGCTTGAAGACCCGCCAATCTTCTTCAAATGGTTCGACCGAAACTTTCCGAGACAGCTCTGCGGCACCATCGCGCCTAAGATGGCCCCGGGAAGCCTTGAGGGCCCTCACCGGTCTGCCAGGAACCAATTTGAAAGGCTCCAAGATGGCCCCAAGAGACGCCCACTACAACCTCCTAGAAGACTCCAACACGTCTTCAAGAAAAGGAGGTGGGAGGAGTAGGAGCAGGAACGACCGTTTGCAAGAGTCGTCTCAGAAGCAGAATATGGCATTTCACCCCGGGCGAAACGGGAAACGAACTAGCGCTGTCAACCACCGCCCACAACCCAAAAGCAGTAGGCAATTTCTTGTCATGCGCCGCGGCTACATCCAACAGTAAGCACTCCTGGACGCCTTGCTACAGTGTGCCCACACGGTGATGAGACGACAGCCAGCCCCAAGAGGCAGAACCCCTATCTGAAAAGCAAGGCGTGAAGAGCGTGCAAGCCCCGACGTCCGACATGTGAGAAATATTCGTAACTGTTGCGCGAGGCGCCGAGTGAAGTTTCCTCAGAAACCTCGGGAGCGCGGTTGAAGCCTCACTCTCTAACATGCCCTGAGATGGTTTTACGGCTCCGTGCCAGAGCCCTCTGCGGGGTCTCTTCGACCGTCTTGGATTCTCGGGAGGCAGCGCAAGCGGCCTAAATCATTGAAGGCATTGGGGTTTCAAAAGGTGTGTTCAACATTGCCCGATGTTCGGTACTCCAAGCGTCCAAACACGGCACAGGAGGCATACGGCCACCCCAGCCCGTGAGATGCGCCGAAAAGGCCCCCGATTCTGCCGGAAGATTTATTTTTTTTGTTGGAGGGCAGAGGAGAGGGCGCGAATCGACGATGAGCGCGACTCGACGATGAGCCGATCCTGCCCGAAGAGGGTTTTTTTTTGCAATCCGAAGAGGTTTTTTTTTGCAATCCTTCGTTCAGAAGAGGGTATTTTTGCAATCCTTCGGGTTTTTTTGCAATCCTTCGTTTTTTTGCAATCCTTCGAAAAGGCCACCTGGAGCCCTCCGCTCCAAAATGGGCTCTCCGAGACCGCCGGCACGCCCCCGAAGAGAGGCTCCCGCGACGGCCAGCAGGGGGCCCCCCAAACTAGGCCACCGAGAGGCGGGGTGGGCCGAAGGCCTCCGGGTGCACGACACGAAAACGTGAGGGCCCTGGGCTCCGAACCAGGCCAGGCACGCCAGTCGTGCCTCCGTGGGGCACGCCGCCCGCACGTCATCCCGTCGGATCGTGGTCCAGCCCAGGCCAGACCCCATCGGGGTGCGTCCACGGTGCCGTTCCTCCTCCTCCTCCTCCTCCTCGCCCTCCTCCTCCTCCTCGCCCTCCTCCTCCTCCTCCTCCTCGCCCTCCTCCTCCTCTTGGGCGCCCGAGTTATCCGGGGTAACTCGGGTCCGGGGTAACTCGGGTTTGGATTTCCGAAAAAGAAACCCGAGTTAGCCCTGACCCGAGTTACCCCTGATGATTCGGGGCTCTGGACGCCCGAGTTATCCGGGGTAACTCGGGTCCGGGATAACTCGGGCTCGGATTCCCGAAAAAGGAACCCGAGTTATCCCTGACCCGAGTTACCCCTGATGATTCGGGGCTCTGATCCTCCTCCTCCTCCTCGCCCTCCTCCTCCTCCTCCTCCTCCTCCTTCTCCTCCTCCTCCTCGCCTCCTCGCCCTCCTCCTCCTCCTCCTCCTCGCCCTCCTCCTCCTCCTCCTCCTCCTCGCCCTCCTCCTCCTCCTCCTCGCCCTCCTCCTCCTCCTCCTCCTCCTCCTCCTCCTCCTCGCCCTCCAGCTTCTCGTGGTGGTGGGTGGAAAATCCAGGCCCCATCGCTCGCTAAGCCACTGCGGGAAGCGGCACCGTGAGGAGACGCGCCCGCCGCGGGCCTGCCCTGCCCTTCGGGCAGGCGCTCTCCAGGCCGGCAGAGGAGCCGCCCCTATCATCCCAGGCCCTGCAGCAGCTGGCCGCGCACACGTGCCAACGGTGCCGTTCCTCCTCCTCCTCCTCCTCCTCCTCCTCCTCCTCCTCCTCGCCCTCCTCCTCCTCCTCCTCCTCCTCCTCGCCCTCCTCCTCCTCCTCCTCCTCCTCCTCCTCGCCCTCCAGCTTCTGGTGGCGGTGGGTGGAGAGCAGGCCCGGGCAGGCGCTCCGGGCCGGCAGAGGAGCCGCCCCTATCATCCCAGGCCCTGCAGCAGCTGGCCGCGCACACGCGCCGGGAGACTGCAGTCGGGCTGCTGAGATAGAAGGAACGCTACTCCAGAGTTCGTAGTAAAAGCGAGGGGGGTCTCATTTCGGGGGGGGTCTCTTCCAGGCTATCTTGGAGGGCCTGGAGGGCCTGGAGGGCCTGCGGCAGCTGGCCGCGCACGCGTGCCAGGAGGCTGCAGTCGGGCTGCTGAGATAGAAGGAGCGCGACTCCAGATGTCGTAGTAAAAGGGAGGGGGTCTGGACCCTCCAGGACGAGCCATTTCAGACCCCCCCCCCCCCCTGTGGGAGAACCCTCCAAAACATCGTCCCCAGACCCCCTCAGGCCCTCCAAGATGGCCTGGAAGAGACCCCCCCCCGAAATGAGACCCCCCTCCCTTTTATTACGAAATCTGGAGTACACGAAGGAAGGGGGGTCTCTCATTTCGGGGGGGGGGGTCTCTTCCAGGCTATCTTGGAGGGCCTGAGGGGGTCTGGGGACGATGTTTTGGAGGGCTCTCCCACGGGGGAGGGTCTGAAATGGCTTGTCTTGGAGGGTCCAGACCCCCTCGCTCCTCTCCTCCTCCTCCTCCTCCTCCTCCTCCTCCTCCTCCTCCTCCTCCTCCTCCTCCTCCCACGAAATCTGGAGTACACGAAGGAAGGAAGCCCCGCGGTGGGCTTCCCCCAAAAAAGGCCTGGTGTGCACGAGGGCGGGCCCGGGGAGCCGCCGCGGGAGAGGGCGTGGGGAGCCGCGGGCCCCCTCTGCGAGTCCCAGCCTGTTCCTTATTTCTCAGCGCCCTGGCTGCAAGGTCCAGGACTCCTCCCTCCCTCCCTCCCTCCCTCCCTCCCTCCCTCCCTCCCTCCCTCCCTCCCTCCCTCCCTCCCCTCCCTCCTCCCTCAAGGACAGGTCCATCCATGGAAACGCCTTGAACAGGGCAAGCGGTGAACGCCCGCAGGTTGGCGAGAGACTCCCGCCCGTGAAGCTGCTGCACCACTCGAACTGGGCGAGAGCCGCGCTTTGTATGCCACGCTGTCTTCATCCGTGTAGCTGCTGGACAAGTCAAGCCTGCTGTCTCAGCCGAGCGAGGGTCTCAGCCGAAACGCCCAGAGCGCCATGGTGCCGAAGAGGAAAGGCAATTTTAACAGGAAACCGAATTAACGAGGGGGCTCCTGCAAGGACTTCGTGTTCTTGTTTGCACACGACGCGAACCCCTGGAAATCTCGACCCATTCCCCTTGGGCCACGGGTGTTGGGGAACAATCAATTGTGGGGCAGCGAGGGCTGTAGAAAAGGGCCCGTTAGGCTCCTCAAGGGGCCCTTTAGAGCCAAAAATGAAGCCTGTAGAGCCCGAGATGTGCACCTTTCTTCACCCCCCCCATTTACCGCCTCCCTGAAGCGACGCCCAATCCTGGGGACCCGCTTTTCAATCAGAAACTTTCTTCACGGTCCGGGGGTCCCCCGGAGCGCCCCCAGAGCCCGACAATCGCCAAACGCCTTCCGACAAATCATCCCAGGACACCCGCTCCCTCGGCCGTAAGAGCAAGCCTCGCATGGCGTGGGGAAGCGGGAACATGGAGGCCGAAGGATGGCCACACTCAAGCAGTAACGCATTCGGAGGCGCTCCTTCTGAGCGTCGCACCCGAACCTGAAGCTTGGGAAGCATGGGCGTCGCACGCGAAGCTTCCGACGTGGATTCTTCACAACGCGGGGAGGTCTGGGAAGTGGGGCGGGCGGTGCGCGGACCTGCTCTTGGGACCTCCCCGCGCGCCTCTGGACGGGCGGGCTGCTCCTCCTGACGCGTCGCGGGGCGGACGGGGGGCATCGGTGGCTGGAGTCCTCTCGCCACCCGGCCGCCACGCCCCACCCACCCAACCCAACGAGGGGATCTCAGCTAGATCCAGTCCCAGACCTTGGCGCCTCCAAGAGAGAAAACGAGGCTGCCAATGTGCTACACATTTGAATATCTGAAACGCCGGGTTCGGCCTTCGGGACAATCACAAACCAACCTGGGCTGAAGAGCCGTGGGCTCTCACATCGAAACTATTTGACGCGGATGTGCCCGTACGTCTACTAATGTGTTGGCGCATTCCTCTCTAAGTGCTGAAGTACATATGGATCTGGATGTGAGCGAATCTGCGCACGGGCGGCTCAGTCTTGAGTGGGCCTCCGCATGAGCGCATGGATGCGAATGGGCAGATACTATCTGGGAATATAAGTGGGTTTGACCGTGACTGGGTCGGAATACGGGTGCGTCTGGACATTCGTGAGGGGACGCCCGCTTCTAAAGGGAAATTAGGACACACACATAAATACACACAAATAAAAATAGTCCCCATATTTTCTCATATTTTCTGGGTTTTTGTCTCCCCCCCCAATTCCCATATTTTCCCATATTTTCCTGGGAATCGAGGATTAATTGTGTCTGTGTGTTTTTTTCCCTCCTGAGCTTCAGCGCTGATTGTTCGGCTCGACAACGCAACGCGTCTACCCAAACAGAGCCGCACTTCCACGATCATCATCCCGGCCGTCTGGGCGCGAGCGGGCCCGTGAAGCACTCCTGGGCGGCATCCCCCATTGCGCGATGCAGATGCCACGCCTGCTGCGCTGCGATGGCCACGGGGGCGCTGAAAAGCGGCACGCGTCGGCCCTCCCCAAAAAAGCGCCCGACCCGAGACATCCCACCCATCTGGGCGCGAGCGGGCCTGTGCGACACCCGGATCGGCCTGCCCCTGGGAGGCAAAAGTGTCATGCCTTCCACATCGCAGTGATCACGGGGCGATGCAAATGAGCGAGCTCTTTCCTGGAAAACGCGCAATCTACCTGGGAGATCCCAGGACTCTGGACGCGAACGGGCCCGTGCAGCCCCCAAGGTCGACCCCCCTTTGGGAGGCCCACGTGCCTGCCATGCCTGCCACGCTGCGAGGATCGTAATACTCTGGAAGGTGACACGCTCCTGCCACAAAAATACTCCAAGAAGCCATCGAGAGACCGCCTCCTCGTCCTCATCCTCCCCTCTTCATCCTCCTCCTCCTCCCCCTCCTCCAACTTCTTCTCGCTCGCCACGAACACACAAACATATAGCACCAGCGATACAATGTGGGCCGGCGGAATGAGCGAAGCGATTAAATACTCTGGAAGGTGGCACGCGCCTGTCCGAAAGCAAGCGCTATCCCTGAGAGGTTGCACCAATCTGAGCGCGGACACGCCCGCGCAACATCTCGCAGGTCGACAATCCACCCTCAGGATGCCCCAATGCCTCAGCTGCAACGCCGTGATGATCATGGATCCCTGAAACACTGATAAGTGCCACGTGTCGACCCGAACACAAGCGTGTTTCAATCGCACCAGCCCTCTGAGCGTCGTTGTCCAGGGAGCCTGGGGAGGGGGGCCCCCCTCCCCCTACTGCCTCCCCCTGGGTCGGGAGCCCCCCCCCCCGCGAAGTGTCAGAGGGTCCTTGTTGGCCCCCGGTTACTCCAAGGGGCCCCCAGAGAGCCCGAGTTGGCCTCCAAGATCTCTCAAGATATCCCACGATGATCCGAGTTAGCCTCCCACATGTTCCCACAAGCCCTCAATCAAGATCGCCCCAGGACAGCACCAAGTGCCCTCCGAGACCCCTAAGGAGGCCCCTGGGAGGCCCGAATCCTTCAAAACCCAAGAGGTGGCTCCAAGATGGCCGACGATGGCCCCAAGTGGGGCCCAGGAGGGCCCCAAGACGGCCCCCAAAGCGCCCCAAACCGTCCCAAAAGCTGCCCAAGAGGACCCCCACAGGCGATGTGTCGGGTCCCGACAGGGGGGCGAAATCGGCGAGCCCCTCTCGTTTGATTGATCGATGGTCTCCAAGATGGCCCCAAGAACCTCTCCAAGGCCGTTAAGGGGACCCCACGAGAGCCCCCAGAGCGTCCAAGAGGGCCCCAAAGGAGCCCAAAGTTGGCCCAGAAGGCGCCCGAGATGGCCCCAAACGGGCCCCACGATGGCCTCAAGAGACCTCCAAGACGCTCACAGAGCGAACGATCGCAGAGGACGTCATGTTGACTCCTGTCTTTTTCGTCGTCGTCGTCGTCGTCGTCGTCGTCGTCGTCGGCGTCCCGCGCTTCCCGCGGCTGCCTTGGTTGAGTGGTTCCCTGTCGTCCCTCCCTGCTTGCTGGACGGCCAGCGCGCGCGTCGTCGACTTCCGCGCGCCCAAGAGCATCGAACGCACGACGAGCAACGACAGGCAACCACTCCGCCAACGCAACCCCTTGCAGGCACGACGCCACACAGGCACCGCAGGCAACGACAGGCAACCACTCAACCAGGACGCTGCACATCCCTGATCGGGACAACTCGCCTGATGTGCGCTTCTTGGACGGACTGGTGGGGATACGCGAACAGTCAGGCACTTCTGGAACACACAAAAACAATATTGGCGCGAGGGGGCCTGTGCAACACCGTGGGTCGACACCCCCCGATATAGGAGGCCCAACGACCATCCCTGAAACGTCGCAATGGTCATGCGGTTCAAATGTGCGGCACGTGTCTCACCGAAAATCTGGGCGCGAACGGGGTCGTGCAACACCACAGGTTGACGACTCTGCGTCGACCCCGCGTTGGGAAGCCCAAGTGCCATGCCTGCTACATCGCGGTGTTCATGAGGTTCTGGGCGCAGACACGCGTGCCCCGAACACAAATGTATGGATGAACGTGGACCTTTGAGCACGAATGGATCAATGAGAATGGTCGTGAATGAATCCCAATCTGAGGATGGGAAACAGGGAACGAGTGAACCAGCTTATTTTGTTGAGGGGCGCACGCGAACACTGAACTTCACCCGGCTCGGCCTCGACCGCTGCACGACTCAAAAGATCGCCAGCCAAACCAAGAACCCCCACACCGAACAACATGCGATATCGAAACTCATGCACTGAACCGTGGCCTGAAAGATGAGCGAGCGTGCCGCACGCGAAATCCCAGGAAGAAGCGAGGAGGGGAGAGCACCGGAGGGAGAGGGAAGGAGACAGAAGCGGAATACATGCATATAATATCTAATGAAGCTGAGCTGCGACTGGCACTAGACACGAGCTGTACAAGCACAGCCGGGCACGCGCGAGGCAAGGAGCAACGACGAACATGTCACGAGCCGCTGCGGCGGGGCGGGCAGGGCGGGCGGAAGCCGAGGCTCGCCACGGCCACGCTCCACACTCCACAAACCACACGGCGGGGTGCACTGAAAACGATTTTGCGACGGGGAGAGAAGGAAGAGGACAGCGAGAGGACGGGGAGGAGGACAACGGGGCAGCTGGACAAATCCGGGTGATCCGAGCGGTGGTGTGCATTTCGAGCCCAGGCCCCCGAGTGACGGGATGGGGCTGCCAATGTGCACGAACCCCAAATAACGAAATCGAAATCGAAGCTCGGAGGGCGTAGCCAAAGGCCCCGAACCTGGCGCGACCTGCGGGCCTCCGCGCACGCCCCGCGCAGGCGGGGGACGGCGCCGGGGCTCGGGCGCGGCGGCCGACCCCTGAGGCCGAGCGCCTCGCCCCGCAACCACGGGGAGGAGAGGAAAGGACTCGGATTGCGCTCTGATTCGCCGAGGAGACGGTCAGCACGGTGCGGCACCCACCGGCTGCCGGCAGAAACGCGCGGCATCTGGCAGCACGGGCGCCAAGTTTTGGTGAAACTCCCCGCCCCCGCCACCTAGCCCGCGCCACCCCTACATCGCCGGAAGGCGCACAAGAGGAAAGGAGGGCAGGGAGGGCAGGCCAAGGGGCGATGGGGAGGCAGAAGCGCATCCCCCCCTGCGAAGCCGCAGGCGCGCAAGCGGCCGGGGCAAAGACCAACGCAGGCGCGCCAGCGCGGACCGGCACGGCGGCAGCCCGTCGAAGACGGCATCAAAGCTTACGAGCGATGATAAGGCAACAGTCGAGCCGAATCCGAACGCGCTGAAACAGGACAGAGGAAACTCGAGACGACTGCAGAATGCGGGCACGTATTGCGCGACGAGACACGAAACGATCAGCCTTGGAAAAAGCCAAGCGAGCTACCGAAGCCGAGGTGGAAAGAAGGCATCGTCGAGAACAAGGGGAGGGCGAGGCGCGCCCTTCCACTCCCCCGAGATGGGATCCCTACCTAGGCTTTGAAACAACTGGAACCCTCTCCGGATGCAAGACCAGCGCGCTCGCCCCAGAGACGGGGCCGAGAGGCCCACGGCTGGGCCCGCGCCGCGCAGCGGCGACAGACTGCGGGGGCCTCCAGCGAGGAGGATCTTGCCCCAAGCACAACTGGGGCTGCGGGGCCCTGGGCGGCGAGGGGGCAGGCAGAGAGGGGGGGGGGGCGGCGCCCCGGGCCAGACGGGGCGCGCCGCGCCGCGGGCCCCCCGAGGCCCTGGCCCTCTGGGAGGGCAGATGCCCCCCAGGGCGGCCAGGGCCAAGAGGAGGGCCTGGCCTGGCCGGCAGGGGGCGGGGCCGGCAGCCGCGGCGCCTTCGGGCGAGGGCCCCCATAGGGGCCCCGTCGCCGCCGCCCCCCGCGCGAGCCCCCCGCGCACCTGGCGCGAGACGGGGGGGAGGGGGGGGGCGCGGGCTCCTCGGGGCCCCGAGCGCGCGAGGCCGCGGCGGGCCCGCAAGCACCGGCGGGGCCCACGCCCCGTTGCTCCGCGCCCCCTGCGGACCGCGGCCACTGGAGCGCCAGGTGCTGCGCCGGGCCCTCAATGGTCTATGGCGGCGGCACATCTCCAACCGGAAGGCCCTCCCGAGGGCCCGCGCCGGCCTCGGCGGACCCCGCGGGGCGGCCAGGCGGCGGGGCCGAGGGGCCAGGGGG